CGCCTCATGCAGGTCGTGGGGACCATGGCAAGCGATGTCTTCTACGGGGTCCGTCATCCCCCGGGAGGGGCTGAGCCGATTGCTGTGCAGGACAGCTCCGTGCATGCACACCTGGATCATCTGGCAGGATGCAAAAGCTGACAGCTGGGGAATGCAACGATGCAACCAAAAAGCCCTGAGGAGGTAAACCGAAGTCCTAAAGGAGGTGCACTAGCAACAAAGGGTACTGGCGAGAAGCTGCGATGGTTCCTGCGGGGCAGTCATTTATCACAGGTTCCCCGACCACAGGATGAGCACCCCTGTACTCGGCTCCCGGGGGGAAGTGATAGCCCTTGACCTGTAGGCTCCCGGGGGGAAGTGATAGCCCTTGACCTGTATTTGGCGCTCAGGATCGCGGTCTGGGTTATGGTGGCCAATGTGGCGCACACCAAGGGGGTAAGCCCCCGGTCGTAGTGATTGCTGGTCCCGCCACCACGTTAGATCTCTCCATCTCATGAGGTGAAAAGTCGGCGAGAACGACGCACGGCCAACATGCCCCCAGAGATTCCACTGAAGTTGGAGGGAGTGTGTTGACCACCTAGTGAATTTGTGGTGATGAAGGAGGGCTCTCGCGCGCCTCATGGTGCGCTTGTTCCAGTCCTGCCATGCTTCGCCTGGGGGACGCTTCCCCGAAATCATACACCGTACTTGCAACAATTGCGTGCTGTCAGCCGCCTGGAGGAGTGAGGCGTTGACGGGCCATGCTGGGCATCCCCAGAGGGCTGCACCTCTGATCAGGGTTTGGTGGAGGTTAAGGATCCTTAAGAGGGGCACGGGAGCAAAGGACCTTTTTGTGCTTATGGAAAGCCCTGCGAGCGCGTCCTTGCATTTCAGCCACGATGGGTGCGACGTCGCCCGACATGCTGACCGGGGCACCTAGGATTGTCATGACCTGTTTCGGGCCGTCCGGGACAACAACTTTGCCTCCTATGGAGAATCTCACGGGGTCATCTTCAGTGTTGGAAATGACTTGGGTCTTTTTGGCATTGATAATGAGGCCAATTTCGGCTAGCCTGGTTTCAAGCTCTGTTAGAACCTGCTGGACATACTCTGGGGACTCCCCCCAAATGTATGTGTCATCCATGAAGGCGGCTCCGGAATGAGGTGGGGGCTCCAGGGCTTGATGACGGCCAGTGTGCGGGGGTTTCCCCCCATTGACAGTCGCGAGTGTCGCATCAAGCACTTCACCGATTTTGGCTGCAAAAAGGACAGGGCTGTCGGGACTCCCCTGTCTAACTCCATTGGATTGCTGTAGGGCGACTTGCTGTTTGTCGACGTGGAAGGTCAGTTCGCGCGCTTCCAAAAGACTAAGCCAGAGGCGTGCTTCCCAAGGCATGGCGCCCTGTTTGGCGATCTTACGCACAACCAAGTCTCCTAGGGCCTGCTGTGCGATGGAGTCAAAGGCCTTGGCTATATCAATTTTAACGATGTAGAATGGAGTCTTCCACTCGTGCGCAACTCTGGCAATCTTCCTCAGTGACAAAATCAGCTCAACACCCTGCTTGCCCTTACTTGCCCATTGGTGGAGACAACAGTCCTGCAACAGGGGAACCCCCCTATGTAGAAGAAGCTGGGCAGTCCATTTGAGGACAGCGCTTGACAGAGTGATTGGTCTCGTGTCGGACCAGTTCGCGGGGAGCAGGCACTTAGGGAGAAGGACAGATGCCCCTGTGGTAGCGCAGGGGGGCAAGGCCCCCTTGTAGAGACTGTCGTTAAGAAGCTTTGCAATTTTGGGCCTCCAGACCTCGTTCTCAAACATTATTTTCAGCGCTTCCAGTGCAATCCCATCAGGGCCTGTCGCCTTGTTGTTCTGCCATTTGGCCATGGTGATCCGCATCTCGGACTCCGTAAATGGCTTCCATGGGGTGCGTTTGCATAGGAGTGTAACCTCCTGCAGGAGAGGTTGCATGGCCTCGCGGGTATGGGATATCGGCGCCTTGTGAAAGATCGACGACATGTGCTGTTGTAGCTTTTCAGCCCAGGACGGATCGTCTAGTAGTTTCGCTGCCCAGCTAGTATTGACTTGCTTGTCTTTGAGGGAACGGAGGGCGTTCCAATCCGCAGAGCTGGCACGAAGGATCATACTCTGCTTCCACACACGGCGTTCCTGTTGCAGCATCTTACTTACGCGCTTCCAGGCTTCCCTGCACTCTTTACCTGGGGGGATCCCCCGGACCTCTCTACGGAAAGCTTTCAAAGCGGCACTCTCGTGAAATTTGTGGGATCGGCTTGCGGGCACTGTAATGGCTTTGGCAACGCGAGACACTTGATGGTGAAGGTCCCCAGGGCCCGGCGGCGAGTCATGCAGAATCTGTTCGCAGTCACCTCTGAGCATTCTGGCACACCACACCACACCTCGCTTGGGGGGGGGGGGTGCTGTGGGAGGCAAGCGACTGCAAAGATGGGTTCATGATCCGATCTGGCTCTGTCTCTGAAGGCACCAACGCAAGCATCTAAAACCCGAATTCCTTTGGCCGCTACATAGTCCAACCTGCGAGGGCACATTTCCTGGTTGTATGGGAAATATGAAGGGACTTCCATAGCCTGTTGTGGAAAGTAGACTTCTGATTCCATCGTCCATTGGAGGATCTGCTCCCCCCTGCCCGTGCACGAAAGAGTGACGGACCCAAGGTCTCCTCCTGGCTGCAATAGGGTTTCATTGGCATCAAGCCCTAGAAGAACGCGGGGACACTGCATGCATGGGGAATTCCCCCATTCTGAAAGGGCCTCTGCAGTTTGGGCAATGCTGAAGCGATGGGATACATGCCCCGATAGCAGGCCAACCGCTTTCCTGTCATGCCCCCGAAGGATCGTGCAAAAAGCAGCTTTACAAAGGCGGCTAGATTCGTGGTGACCCAAAACCTTAAGAAAGGCAACCCCGCACCCTCTCCATTCACCTTCTTGTTTGCCATGCAGCAGCATCCACGTGGCGTTGAAGTCAAAATGCGGGCCACCGGACGTGGATATCTCTTGGAGAAACACCACTTGTAGGCACGCCAAAGGGGGAGTCCCCTGGAAGCCAGCGAGTAGGTCCAGGATGTTCCCGGGGGCCATACCCCCTAAATTCCAGGTTGCAAAATGAAGTTGCACAGCATCATCTTGAGACCGTGCGTCAGTGCATTGGCGTCCAGAGTCTTCTTCAGCGGAAGAAAGGCTCCCGGGACTTCGTTGTGGGTGATACACTGGGGGAACATCCCCCGCCGCGATGAAGTCAGAATCTAGTCATCGAAGTGCCGCCAGCAGCGGCTCCCATGTGCGTTGGAGGCGATCCGCATCAACATCCAGAAGTTCAGCAATGCGGGGGACGTCGATCCATCCACATCCTGCAGGGGATGATCCCCTTGGTCCTGCTGAGGTAGCTGAACTGATTTTGCTGTTGCGGAACCATACTGTGCCGGTGGCCCACTCTGGTTCAATGCGTGCCAAGGTGCTCGGCCCACCTGCCTCAATGATGAGCCTTTTGACTTTTCCGGCCAGAGCTGCTCTGCGTCGTCTCTCTGGTGGTTGCGAAATGGTCAGCCAAAGTTTGGCCATGTTGCCATCGGGCTTAGTTCCCAAAGAGATGTTGGCCCCATTGACTCGTCGAATGGAGAGCTGTGCCCTCTGTCGCATCCCTTCCTCAGTCTCCCCTTCTTGTTGCGAGAGCGGAATGAGAACGAAACCTCGTCGTACTCCAGGAACAAAGGCGTCGGTCATGTTGATTTTCAACTGGAGGTCCCTGGCCATCTCGTTTGCTTTCTGCAGGACTTCCGCAGCGGGAGTGTCGGGGGCCCATCCCCCCATCACCAAGGCAGGGATTCTCCCTCCTTCAGTCGTTGGCGGGGTGCTCCCCGTGGACTGGATCTGGCGAACTTTGCCTTCCAACTGCGTCAACCTTCCTGCAACCGTCTCGGACTCTGCAGCAAGTTCCGCAATTCGCAGGGATTGGTCTGCCTGTCCTGCAGAGAGGGTCTCTACGGCTTGAAAGGTCCTGTCGTTGTGCTGTTGAAGATTTCTCTCCAGTGCTGCCACTCTATCCGACATGCCTGCAACTGCTCCTTGGATCTCGCCACGTACCACTTCACGAATTGCATCCAGGCTGATGTTCTCGTCCTGCGGCCCACGCTTCCGCTGAGGCGACTCTCTCGCCTGAACCTCCATGGGCGTAGTTTGCTCGGACATAGTGCAGCGGGAAGAAACCCCGAAGATCTCTGCGTTGCACACCGAGCTCGCGGTCAGGAGCGGGCAGGAGGAAGAGCGCAAACTTGCCGATGTCCCCCCGCAGCAATGGCGCTAGGCTGAGAGAAGAGAGAAAGAGAAAAGGCGGAGCGCAAGGTCAGGCGCACCGGGTTTTGGTTACTGGGCTGCCCAATCAGCGAGGAGAGCAAGACGGCTAGGGGCAGAGCGGCACCCAGCAACCTCGAACCACTCGCGGCTTGAGCCAAAATGGCTACTCTCTCTCTCTCTCTCTCTCTCTCTCTCTCTCTCTCTCTCGCTATTCTGCCGCACTCATGCACGCACCACAAAAACCAGGTAATACAAAAACCAGACAACACATGCAGGTTTCTGCAACTCCATGTCATGAGTGAGGTTTGCAGATGCTGGAACATGTAGGGTGCATGTTGCTCATGTTTGAACAGGCACACCTGGTAAGCGTGTTATCCCTTCACAAGGGCAGCTGTGTGTGCGCCACCCTGAAGCTAGGGGATAAAACAAGTCAAACAGCAGGGAGGCACGGCGTCATTCCAGACCGTGCTTAACAAAGCTATGGAATCTGATGGGAAGCAATGGCTGACCACCCTTGTGTACCTGCCCAAAGCACCCCAAAGACTGCTGTTGTTCCCATAGTGGCCAAAGTGATGAAGATTTCCGGAGTGTCTGAGCCGAAGGTCTGAGCTGAGTGCAAGTCGGATATGAACGAAAAGATGAAAATGAAGAGATGAGAAGATGACTCTAGCTTGCTAACCCAGGTATGGGTACGATCATACCGCAGAGATCCGCAGAGTGTGTGTGTCTGTGTGTGCGCGTTCATTCTTGCGTTGCGGCTCGGTTTGAGAGGCGCGTGCTCTGGGCCACCAGGCTCGCGAGATGGTAAAGGGATTTGATGCAGACGGATCGTCGGGAACGTCGAGGGTGAAGAAGAAGTGGGTGTAAAGCAAGTTGCCAGCTTGCACCTCAGTTTCCACGGCATATTGTGCAGAGACAGACCGGAAGACACCGGAAGGAGGTCGCGCAGCCTGGCGTGTCGAGTGGGACTGGCCTCTTGGCACAGATACTAAGCCATGGAACACTTTGAACACCCGAACGCATATTCAGTGAATTTCGATGACATGGGTCACGGGATGCGGCTTTCAAAGGGAACGCTACCCTTAGCAAAAGAAATAAATAAAGAATTAAGGAAAGATACAAGAGAGGACAGACTGGACCAAAGGATCGACCGTAAGAACGAAATAAATGAAGAAAGGAAGAGAACCCGAAGGAAAGGGAGAGTCTGGGAAGGCAAGCGAAAGGAAGAGCCACACAAAGCAACAGCAAGAACCAACGCACGACAAAGGTTTGAGAGAAAGACAGACTGGGCGCTAGAAGACCAAGCAAAGAAAGAATGCGCAAGCAAAAGACAGAAATCAGTGGGTGAGAAGGAGGCTAAGTTGTCACGACGACGACAGTAATAGTTCCTGCGCCTCGCATAGATCGTCAAAGCGTCCAGGCCACCGTAATGCTCCGAAACACGTGTGGGTGCTTGTAATGAAACCGAATGGCACCTGAAGGATTGGGGTTCTGCGACAGACTACCCGTATTCTTCAAGGGTTCCAACACTCAAGGCCACATAAGTGCTGAAGTCGGGAAATGTTGAACTGAGCTGTTCCGAGCAACCCGAGCCAGTCCCAGGAGACCGCTGCCGAGCGTTGGCGGCAAGGCCACAAGAGCTGGTCCTCCATGCCTTGGCACACCACAAACCTTCATCTACAACTACATCTACAACTTCAACTACGACTGCTGCTTCTGACTGCGACGACGACTAGCCTGCTGCGTTGTGCATGATGGCTCCTCATGCTGCTACTGTCTCTCCTGCTGATGCTGCTCTCGCTGCTAACGATTACAAAAGGGAATAGCAGGAGGAGGCTCACACTGCCGTGTACTCCTGTCACAATCTTCGGAAAACCCAGGTTGATGTTAAGATCACTAGGTGGCGCAGATGCTCGAGGATTGCGCAGAAGCGAGGATGCAAACAGGCCGTGCTCATCTCAACATCCGAAAATTAAACGTATATGCATGATCTCCCCAGCATGCTCCAACCACTCTACGTATCCGCTATCTACAACAAAAGGTCTGACAGTGACCTGAAATCATATGCAGTTGCCCGCGAAACTCATCACGTTCGGCATTGTGAAGAGCCACCAGCGCTGGCGTCTTTGCCTCGTCATCTCACACGTGGTCGGCTTTGATGACGCAACGCCTGATCTGAGGGTCCGACTAGGCTAATCTCCAGGCAGCGACCCGTTGTGGTGTCCACACGCATCACGCGCAGAGGCTCCTCGCATGATGTGCTTCAGTCCTTTCTGTTGAGTGTGGGGCCCAATCCTTCGTTTGGACGCCTGCTTCTCTTCCATGCCGTTTGTCTGTGAGCGTTTCTTAAGTGTGCTTTGTTGAGTCTTGAAGGCCTGCCGCTCTCGCCTCTCCTAGCCTGCGCGGTGGAAAGATAGGTTCCTGCCACAACCGACCCTCGACTGAGAAAATCCGAAATCCACGGCATACTCAGTCACACGGAGAGGGAAATACAGAGCCAGGCGGCGACTGTAAAAACCAAGAAGAGCTGGTCTCCAACAACGAACGGCATCCAGTTCTTCTGGTGCACGCTTCCTCGGATTGCTTGAAGCTGAAGGCCTCGGGGTCCGCATGGGCCCCGCCGGTACTGCAGCTCAAAGAGTCCTAGCCGGTCTTGTGCCAGCATCTTCTCAGACAGCTGATCCGCGAAGTCCTGCGCAGCTGCATGGGACTACTCAAACACGGAGTCTCATACTGACGATTGCGACCTGCTTTCCACGCGACCCGTTTCTCAAACCTTTTGGGGGCCAATCTATGCCAATTTAATATCTCCTGCAGGTGCTCAGCGTATGAAGGTTTCTCTCCGTCCGATGCCAGAGGAGGCACGTTAACGAGCGCAGCATGTCCACTCGCTCGAAGTCTCACTCTCCCAGTGTCTAGCACAACCGATTCATTCAAGCTAGGGGCATTCAACCACCTTTGAAGGGGCGGGACGCTATTCGCAACCACGGTACACATCCAACCCCTCGCTGTGGTCAGTGAGGTACATTTGAGAGATACATGTGCGAATCTAAATCAAGCCCAGGGTCGAAGGTCAGCAGCACCTTCTGCAGGCACTTTACCTCCGCAAAGTGCTGAAAACCGGTCCACCTACGACTTGAGGACAAACCCTCTGCCTGGAGCAGACCGGAGTAGGATATCTGAGTATCTATAATGTGGGGCACGTGGGAGCTGCCGCGCCTTTAACTCCTTGAGGTTGTTCGATGCCTCATCAGGCATCTCCAGAGGGCACAGGTATTGTCGATGCTGGCAAGGGTAGTCCTCCCGAGCATGGAAGTCAGGACAAGGTCAGGTTGCCCTGCGGTGAACATCATGTCTCATAGTGAAAGTCTCTTCTTTGTTCAGCCATGCCTGCAAAGCAGGCGCCACACCAGCAAAAAGCACAAACGGCTTGCCGCGTAGGGAAAACAAGCGTCCGTCATCGATGCCGACACGGCGCATGCCTGAGGAGAAAGCTGACTTAACAATCTTCCTTACAATCATTCGTAAGGCCGCGCCTGTTGAATGCGTGCAGGAATGCTCCTGGAACTTCTGCATCCCGATTTCGTGCCTTGACTGCCGCAGGTCTGTAGAGCTGACACGCCAACCCCGGCGCTTGATTGGAGAGATGGGCCCAATGGGAGTCCAACAGACGAATCACTGAAATGTTTCTGTTCTGCTGTCACCAGCGACTTCCGCATCCAGCAGCAGCCCTTTGCTCCAAGCTGCACCGGCACAAGTGGCGAAAAGTCACGACGCGTGATGGCCTGAGCCACGGTCATCATCGGACAGCAAAATACAAGGACCAATTGAGGTCAGCGCAGCCATGACACGGCTTGTGGCCTGTCCCGAAGTGCAACGCTTGAACACGTTTGAACACAAGCCGATGCCTAGCCTGCACATCCTGGAAGCTCTGGAAACTACAGTGTATGCCTTTCCTGAACAACAAATCGACAGGGGAAGCCTGATTCCGACCTTCGACTCTCGGCAGAGACGCCACCGGGGAACCTCACGGCGGAACACAGCAATGGGTACAAGCGTGCATTGCTGTCTCTGAGATCGCGGGGATGCCGTGAGTCGGCACAGCCACAGGTAAACGACTAAACGACAGTGCCTAGATACGTGCTAGCCTCGATTCACTCGGCTTCTGAGGCGAGGTGCCTCGCCCATCCCAGGCGCAAAGGTTCCAGGTCCCGGCCCTGACAAAACCGGTGCTGTGATACTTCGACAGCTCGAAGAAAAGCCAGTCTGGAATGCTGAGCACTGCCCGAAGGATGACATGCTGAAGCTCGTAGCCTGTACGTCATGAGGAAAACATCCTCACCGCGCCAGCCTAGGCATCTTGGCACTAGGGCATTCTATAGAGCTCCAATCCAAAACATGATTTCTGGTAATTGCCGAGCATTCTTGCACATGGGCCGTGGGCAAAGGTGCCGTGGCTCATGCACATGCTGTCCAGCTCTCCGATGAAACGATTTGAGTGTGCACTGTCGCTCTTTAGATGAAGGCCGAATGCTGTTCCATAGTTTCCAAGGAATCACTCCAGCGCTGCTACATATGCTACATGCAGCCAGAAAGCGCAGGGGCAGCAGCGATGGATTGTAAAGTGCCCATGTTTTCTTCTTCGGAGGTCGATGCAGGAGCCTCGACGACACGTTCAGGACCTGGTCGTACCAACGGCACAAGCCAGCCAATCAACTGTTGTTCCGCGTCAAGTCTCCTCCACGGCCGCACCATGAATCAATAGCTCACCGAGTCTGGCCTCAGCTCGAAGCGGACCGTGCACGACTGCCGTGGCAGGCCACAAGCAAAAAAAAGGGCAGAATGAGGAACGCATCTTTTTGTGTCCCACCTAGCTAGGACGAAGTCCGCATTCCAGGGTACAGTCGAGGGAACAGTACTTCAGCGATTCGCGTTCATCTGCAGCTAAGGCTTTGAGCTTTCCAGTGCCCTGCACGTGGGGACTGGGGCAACAGCTTGCACGCACTGGCTCTGCAAGACATAGCTTCATGCAAGGTATCGGCGAATCTCATCGACTTAGCAAGAGTATCCTCCGATGTTGACTCGGTACCAGTATGGCTTTCTCAGACGAGGATTCCAACGTCAAGGATTCTCATGAGAGTTTGCCTTGGTTCCTAGCCAGTGGCTCTTCGACATTGGTTTCTGGAACGGCCACTAGAAATACTTATACTATTCGCCTGAGTGCTCCCACGAAATTGCAACATCTTGTGCAGACATAGTCTACATAGTCTTTCCATCTTACCAAAATAGAAAAATGGGAAAGCCTACATGAAAGCACATATGATTTTTTAGAAGCACATGCCGGAAGCGTGACACCTGTCGGGCTTCTCAATATCCGCTATGCAGCCCCTCGATACTTCTGTGGTTGATTATGAATTGCATGGCTGTTTGTTGCATATCTCATCCCGGTTTCGGCCAATTCACCTATGTTTGGATAATCCGGGGTTCCTGCATGCCTGCGTGCGTGCTTGCGTGTGTGTGTGTGTGTGCGCGTGCGCGCGCGTGCATGTGTATGCAGTTGCTGAGGGTTGTTGTGGCGATTTTATGAGGCCCACTTCTGGCATCTTCTGGCGGCCCATGACCCCGCATCCAGTGACAATGAATGCTGGCCTCGCTTGCTTGCTGAGCTGTGGCAAGACTTGGAAGGCTAAGTCCCAGTCCCAAAAGAATTATTTAGAAAGAACTGCGGGGAAGACGTCTTGGCTCCTGATCGTGGTCGTGAACTCAACTTCTGCCAACATGCTGCTTCCGATGTGTTGAGCGCAGGTCCCCCCCCCTCAATCCTGCGCATGACGTTGCTGGAGCCAATCGACAACATGACTCGGCATGAGCTTATCTTGAAGATGAGGACGGGGCACTCATGGCAGCAGATGTGCCCATCAGCTTCTCCGTTGAATAGCTGTTCCCAGAAGTTTTCAACTCTCCGAAGTCGAAGACTCCTGGCGATCACTAGCGGTCTCAAAAAGTTGTACATGTCAAGATGATTCAAGATGCGGTACATGGAAATCGTCCCATCCACCAGGGCATCTCGACTACTGCCGGCGCAAGGATCTTCTACATGCCCCGAATACACCCTGAATACGACCGACTGCCAACAGCTGACACCAGCTTGTAGAATCTTGGGCAGTCCATGGCTGCCAGCTCGATCCAAAGTCGTAGCGCCAGCCTGCAAAACCAACCGAGATCTGTCACCCGAAGGCAACGACATCCAGCACTGAACGACTCATGGCCTGTGCCTGGACCCTGGGCTGTGTGGTTTGTGCGCCGCGCGACTTTTAGGGAGCGCGGTCCTGCCTCCTGTGCAGAACCAAGGATGGCATACTGAAAGAACAGCTCGAGCCACAGCATCCGCTTCGGCGACAGCCATTGCAACTCAAGGCTGCTACCGGCAAGTGCCATTCAGCTTGTGAGTGGCTAAAGCCATGATGGGTAAAAAATGACCGCAGATCTGTTCCAAGTCCAAAAGAATTGGCCTAAACTGTTACTCCGTGGCTCGTATGGACATGGTTTGGGCTGGAGTGTTGCTTGCAAAAAGCTGCACCAACCATTTTAAGCAGTTTGGCAGTTCGGCCCGGGAAGCTGGTGCCCATGGATTCGGATGTGTGTGGCTGTGTGAGTGGGCACCAAGACAGATGGCTCTGAGCACGGCCGACCAACACAGTCTTCACGGGTTGTGATCGTCACACCTACAGCGCTTACATCCGCATTTCAATCAAAGCTGAAGCATGTAGAAGCCGGGAAGGGTGCAAGGATGCTAGGCCGCTAGAGACGGAGGTGAGCTAGGGAGAGGGAGAGCGCAGAGAGGAAAGCAGGGAGTAGAGGAGAACGTAGACGGGAGAGCGTGTGGGGGTTTAAGCGGTGGATGCCAAGAGGCCCGCCTGGCACATCTGGTCTTCCAAGGATCAGAACCTGGGGACTGCAATCTCCATGAAGGAATCTTCCTTCTAGAGCGGCCGGTGCAAAATTGCTGACGAGCTGCACCAAGGAGGGCGAGGCAGTTGGAAGCCCGGCCACAGCACCCACGGCACATGTGCTTTCGGCAAAGGTATGGGATGCGCGAAGTTTAATGTGCTGTGGTTGACTCATTGACACTACGACATCTCCCGATGATTTGAGTTTGGCTGACTGTGGATCAGCATCCTCCCCTGTGCTGCCGATTCCAGGCAATGAATTCGGGATCGCCTTGCACAAAGGCTGTGGTTGCGGCAGTCCAACAATCATCAACTTGACTAGAAGAAAACCAAGGCTCTTAGTTTTGACTTCCGCTTTTTTTGCAATCTCAACTCCGCACGTCGGGTCCGTCCGGAGCAGGATCGAAACTGACCACAATGTCATGCTCAGTCGCCTGCCCATTCCAGGATCAACCGCTGGCAGGCGACTCGTGGGCTAGCCGAAACGCAATTGGGGGGTCGTCTTAAGCAGTCGGACCTCAGGTCGGCAGCCATTGGATGCCTTGCCAGAGCTCCTCGACGACCCAAGTGGGACATGTTAACATGTTGGTTCACCGAAGCATAATCGCAGCTCGAAGGCCCCAACTCTACGGTTTCTGCAAGTCCCATAACTCATAACATAAGACCAGCAGAGCAGCAGGCCTCCAGCTTCGACCGCAGCACCTCCACATGTGGAGTCGAGTCGACACCCGCGGCCCCAAGCCCTAGAGACCAATTCCCAAGTGCTCAGAGTGCTCAGGTCCCGAATCCGCTCGGGCACTTCCATCGAAGCTTTGCCCAAACGCTCCGTGTGCCTCGATTGTCCGTTTCGACTTTCGCTGTGCCAGGAGCAAGCCCTGACGACTGTGCTCCGCAGCCTGCTGAAGACACAATGCAGACCCACTGAAAGCTGACTTTCAATGTCGCATATATGTATGGTATATAAATACAGAATACTATATGACATTATATTATATTACATATCATCCCCCAACCGCGGCCTCGTTCGACCTCCCCAGGCGCCTGTCGTCTTTCGGCGGAGCTTCAAAGAAACGCGCTTTTCACAGCTCAGCGAAGGGTAAAAACCGCAAGGCCTTCCTTTTCGGGCTCAGAGTGCACATGTCCGTCCACTCAGCTACAGAAACGGAATGGAAGACCAGCACAATGCAGCTCACTTTGTGAGGCAGCCAAAAAAAAATATTCTCCGGAGGATGATTGGCAGGGTGAGACTGACGAAGGTGTATTTTGAAGGTCAAGTCGCTGTCATTATGTGCTGCAGACCGAGCTCGCCGGAATTCTTTCTGCGCACGGCTGCAGCCGTTGGGCCGTCGCCGAAGGTCATTTGGACTACTGAAGCTGTGGCCACTTTTCTGGATGTTCGAACGCGGGTGTCTCCATACACGGACCTGAAGATGTCATCTTTTCGAAAAGCCTTCATGTCCTGCGAGGATGTGGGGTTTGAAGCTCTTGCAGGAGGAGTAAGGCCATCGGCTGGAATTCCTGCTAGTGCTCGTTTCAACCTGCCCTCCATTTCAATCATTCCGTATTCGATTTTGATAACCGCAGCATCTATGAGAGCCTCAACTGCTCCATCCGTGTGAGCGCCCTTGTGTCGAAGGTCGCCCAGCTGGTCGTCGCATGAGTCAGTGATCACTTCGCTTGTTGTCACTGTCGCTTCTGACGGGGAGGAGTATGCAAGGCAAAGCGTCTCTGCCTTTCTGGAGCTATGAGGCTGCTCAACGTTGATTTCCTCATCGTATTCTGTAGCTTGTCGGAATCTGGCCATGCCCAAGGACTGCGATTGCATCACAGATGACTGCCGAGAATCAGAGGGTACGCCGCTGCGAATGATGCTCATCTGCGCTGCCAAGGTATCGATCCGCTCAGCCAAGTGGCCGAAATAGTGCTTGGATAAGCTGTAGAGGTCTTCTTGCAACTGCATCGTCTGCAGCATGTTGTACTTGATGAACCTGGGTGCGGTCTTGGAGTCATGAACCCATCTGCTCAAAGGTCCAATAAACTCTCCCACTTCGATCGTGCCGTTGTTGTCCACGTCGATCATGCTGAAGAGCTGCTGCAGGTCATTCTCGTCGATGTCCATTACTCTGAGCCGGCTCTGGAAAACTGGATCACGGCGAGCACCCCGAATCAGCTCGTCCAGCGAAAGCTGCCCGCTGCCATCCTTGTCAATCCTCGCAAAGAGTTTTCCGAGGGCCTCTCGATCCTTCTCAATGTCTTGCTCCATTTCTTCGGCAAGGTTCAAAATGTCATTCTGCCTGGCCTCCGCAAAGGTGTCGACGACGACCTGAGTGTCTCTCAGGTCAGGGCTTTGCTTCGGAAAAAGAAAGCTTCCCTACGGCCCCCGCTTCACAGCATTTCACAGCCATGCCGCTGCCACGATGATGTTCAACACGCCAAACACCAGCGACAACAGGGAGCCGACGAAGATGAATGCCGTCTCGGGATTCCGAAGTATGACTGGAACGGCCACCTGACCCCAGCTATCTCCGGCAATCACTGTCTTGAAGAGTAGAAGGGCAGCCTCCATTACTGAGCTTGTGGACGTCCTGCAGTATGGACAATTGCTAATGATCTCGTGCCCATCTTCAACCATATCCTGAATGATGGGGTGCACCACCTCAACCAAAAGCATGGCCCAGATCAACATGATCACGAAGCAAAGCAGGAATGACCAGACCAGAGTCCGGAGGCACGTAGCCATCATCGTAACTAATTTCTGGAGCTCACGCAAAGCGCGGATTCTCTTGAAGAGGCGCAACAAGCGGAAGATACGGGCCAATCGCAAAGCGCGCATGACACTCAGGCTGTTCGTCACGTCCGCAGGGGCCACGGCATTCAGCACAACCTCCAGATAGCCGCAAAGAACTATTGTCACATCGAGAAGCGCCATCCAATCAACGAGCACACCGCAAAAGCCTTTTCCGATGAGGAGTAGCAAGACTTCAGTGCTGTAGAGTGCCAAGCTAATGTCGGAGAACACCATGAAGAACCGCGGTGGATAACTGAGGCCGGCTGCACGCGCATCAATGTCTACCCATGTACAAACGGCATCAACCAAGACAACACCAGCCATGATGTTTCCCACGTAGTAGTTCGTCACGAACCACATAGAAAATGACTGCACCTTCGTGATTATCGCCCTTTTGTTCTCTGTTGGCGCTTCCTCCGCCGAAGAGTCCACGTCTTCCTGACTTTGGCACAGATCTTTGCAGTCACGTGGAAAGACACACAGAATCAAGCTGCTGGGAATTTGCGATGCTCTTTCTACCTGCATGGCCTAGTGTGGATTTCCTCCAAGCAGCTGCTTTGATAAAGTCCCCTGCGATGACGGAGGCCCGGACCCGCCTCCTCGGCTCGTAGCATTTGATCTCTTGCAGGCGCCCGAAACGGGCCGATTCAGGTTTATAATATAATACAAGATAGTATAATACAATGAATGTTATGTTATATGTTATGTATTATATATATAATATATAATACATAATATATAATACATAATATATAATATATAAAATATAAAAGATAAAATATAATATATAATATATCATATATTATATATTATCTATTATCTATTTATTATAATATATTATATTATATATTATATATAATATACCATATATCATATATCATATATAACATATATATAATATATCATATATAATGTACAATATACTGGACATGAAACCTTTAGGGTGGTGGCCCACCCGGCCCTCACAGAACCCCAGTCAAATGCTGCTCCAACCGGCGAGGGCAGGAGATCAGCGGCAGCCATCACATTGGCGTCACTTCGTATCATTCATTCATTCATGCACTCGTTCGTTCATTTCATTCCATTTCATTTCCTTTCACTCATTCACGCATTTTATTCATTCATTCCATTCCATTCCATTCCATTCCATTCCATTCCATTCCATTCATTCATTCATTCATTCATTCATTCATCCACTCCACTCCACTCCACTCCACTCCACTCATTCATTCGTTCATGCATGCATTCATTTCACTTTTTCTTTCATTCCATTTCATTCGTTCCGTTTCGTTTCCTTTCATTTCATTTCAACACATTTTATTCCGTTCCTGTCATTTCATTCCATTTCATTCTTCATTTGCTTCACATCATTCATTCTTTCCTTCATTCGTTCATTCATGCCAGCTAGGACGGCTGCTTCCGAAGCCGGAGGCCAGGATTCTTTACAAAAGCACTCACAGCACCCCCTCTGCTCAAACCGTTGCAAACCCAACAGCCCCTGCAAGCCGCAACTCCTGAGCATGGCAAAACATGGACGAGACATCTGAAGAAGAATTGCACCTGCCTGCCGAGGTGCGATTTTTCACCAGGGTCTTCCGAGCTCTGCTTGGCAATGCTGCGCATCGAATTGGTCTTGCTCCCAGCACTCTGACGAACCTCTGAGGTTTCCTGGCTCAATGGGCTCAAGTGCAATGCAACTGTCCTCCCGAGTCGACTCCCAGCCTCCGAGCCATAGCTTTGGTCCTGCCCTCTGAAGCCGTCAGCCATGGCTCCAAGGAGACTCGGGGCTTCTCCGGGCAAATTTTTGCCCCGATGCTTCAGCCGACTTCCAAGCCGAGGATTCGATGATCCAGCGAAGCAAGAAATCATGGGAGAAGTGCAGCTAGAAACGCGGCTACGGTGCCACAGCCTGCAGTCCCTTACTCGGCCTTCTGGCCGCTTCCAGATCATCTCGGACGCCGATAAGCTCCTGAGAAGGGGAAATGTCTGAGGAATCTGCATCTCTTGCACTGACCAAGAAGCCCCCTTTTCCTCTTATCGCGCAACTTGCTCTGCGGTCTGCTGCCGCTTACCCGGCCAACCAAATCAGTATGCCGGTGAAGATTGCGGAGATGGCAAAAGGCAGTGCCAGATTCGAGAGCTTGTCCTCAGTGAGGCATGGATTTGACTTGTTGTGTCTTTGTCATATCAGGGGACAACTGGGAGCCCTCCAACCGCAAATTAGGCGCAATTGGAATGCTAGTGAAGCCAGCCACATCCTGGAACGTCTCTCTACTGGCACTTAGCCGCGACAGCACATGACTTGCACTTCCCTGCCTGGTAACCGATTGTGAGGGATGCGTGGCGCATCACATCCTCAAGACAGAGACGCGATCGGCTTACAAAAGCAAAGCCTGCTGGCGCTACCCTAGTGACCTACTACACAGCCTGCACCGCTTCAATCCGCTTCACTCCAAGAGGCAGAGAGCTTTCCGGCCAGCAGGCTGCTCTTGTTGTTAGCCAGCCTTTGCACAGCCCAGCCAGGACGTAACAGAAGGAGCAGGCGAAGCCGGGCGGATTCAGAGCTTGAACAGTGTAGTAGTAGTAGTAGTAGTAGTAGTAGCAGCAGTAGCAGTAGCAGCAGCAGCAGCAGTAGCGAGATTTGGGTTCCCTGGAATCCTGCCGGGAGCTGACCAACGAGAAGTTGGAGTCAGCATTCCAGCGAATACACAACGGCTTCTGACCGCTCGTCAACCCGACCACCCCTACCTACTGCTACTCCTACTCCAACTACTCCTGCTGCTGCCACTGAGGCTGCCACTACTCCCACTACGACCACTAGTAGTCACTAGTACCACTACTACGACTACCACTCTCAACGACGAGAATGTTGTTAAATGCATGGCCGGGCCGCGAGTCTCGCAGCGAGTTGACCACCGTGGTAAAGTCGTCACCGTCTCTTTCTGGCACTACGAAGAAGCGCACAACCACCTAGCAAATCCGAGAATATGATATCTGTAATCCGTGACAAAGGCACGAGACTGGCCTCCTCTCCAAGACGTTCCTCAAAGGGCACTGCGCTGCTGACTAGGCTTGCGCCAGTGGACTCCAGTGTTTCAATACCTCAGAAGCCCAGCCACAGCAGGCACAAGAAGACTCAGCCTGTCTTGCTGCCACTGTGAGGGCGAGAGTCTGTTGCGCGATTTCAGCATCGAAGAAACTGAAGAAGCAGGCCGCAAAAATCTGCCATACACGGAATTCCTCAGATCGTGGGCATTAGGCTGGCGGGTAGTTTGCGGCACTGGAGAATCCAGATTGCAGATGTACTCAGTTGCAGCACGAGGGCATTAGGATATGGCTTTCCTTCACCTTGCAGGCCTGGGTCAGCTCTTGGCAATCAGTGAACATAGGTTGCACAGAATGCCATGCCGCGCCTTGGAGAGCTCGCCTCTGAACTGCAGCAGCAAGGCAGACAGTGAATGAGAGCCAAGGGAATGGCCTGCGGCAACATTGCACCCTCCCCGTCTCTTTCAACTCCGGGGATCTCCTAGGGGCGGCCTTTGTACCTCTAAGACGGCCTCTCAGCCTTGCAAGTCTCGAACCCTCTCCTCTGCAGCCTCCAAGCATAAACACGGCTTTAGGACGCCAACCCTTTAGCCTTTGAATTCCTAGATTTCTGATAGACCAAAAAAAGCAGCGGAGAGGCTATCAGGTGCGTCCTTTGCCATGGGCCCTCTCAGGCGCCTCCTCTTCTGATTCTATGGGTAGGAATGCATGCGACCGTCCTGGTCCGGCTACCGCTTCTTTGGCGGGGTGCGCATGACATTCTTTCCGCGGTCTCGCTGCGACCGCATCCTCTGAAAAGGCGCGATTCATGTCACGTTCTGATATGTTGGTGCGAAATTCCGCCTTTCCATCCCTTGCTATTCGCATATCGCCTTTCCGCAACACTCCCGCGCTCCGAAAAAATTGCGCTCCCACTGGTGCTGCAAATCTCGGAAGCGGCTCGTGAATCATCGCGCCCTGCTGCTCAATCCCATGCGTGCTTGAGGGGGCATATCAGTCTGCGGAAGTTCGCGCTTATCTTCACCTAGGGATGGCTATTGAATTGAGTGTTGCTACATGTCTTATGCAAGCACGGGCACTTGTGATCCTTTTCTCTCCACTGGTTGCCTTACACGCCCATGCTGGCGCTTTAGACGCTTCGGTGCTTGTTAGCGCGTGGGCACACTTAGGGGCTTGGGCGGAAATGCCAGGACCCATCCTCACCCGCAATGATCTTCAAGAGTCAAAGCCGTGGCAACAAAGAGTGGCGCTTGAAAAAGGTGTGCCATTCGGGCAAGAGTCCCAGCGACAATCCAGAGTTGTCAGCTGCAGAGTCTGCTGCATAGTGGTCGAGCAAAGCCTGAATCGTGGTGCCTGCGAGAGGTGGCATAGAAACAAGCAATTTGATCTTGCTGTCCGGCCAGTCGTGACACAGTACTAGCGGGTCAGGACATCTACGCAGAGCCTGACATGATCGGACATGGTCACTCATCGTCGGGCCTGCCAAGTGCAACTCACAGGGGAGCATTTTGCTCCACTGCCGTGCATCCTGAGAATCCACCGCATTGGCAGGGGGGCGTGACGTTGCACACACACACACAACATACACACACACACACACAAACTCTCTCTCCCTCCTATTCGTCTTATTATCTATGTCTGCGGTTCTAGGCTTGGTTGAGTGAAATTGGGCCCCAGTGTCGGGGAGTGGTTGGGCTGCTGTGTTGCAGGGGTTTGTTTGTAATCAAAGTAGTCACAACGCAGTCCGTCTCGGCCGTGCTGACATCGAGGTAGGCGAGTGTCCCCTCACAACATTCCCTACCCTCACACGCTACCTCAAGCCCACTTAGCGAGCCCGCTTCAACTTCACTGACAGAACCCTGCGCGTGGACAAACGGGCACAGACCAACACGATTTCTGATGGATGCAATCAAAGATTGAATGGACTGACCGTTGAAAGGATCAAATACCAGACACGCAAGTACAAAGCATTCTGTTATTGGGCTGTCCTCGTCACTATAGGATGTCTGTAGGTCATCCCCTGTCAAAGGATCTCCTGCCGGCTGCGAAACCTGGCACAAATTTCGCCACACCATATCTGGCTCAACACTGTCAGCATTCCTACAACCCGCAGGAAGTGAGCTCACAGAACGGCATCTTCAGAACAGTTCAAAAATCTCTTGTCGGGCAAACTTCGGCCTTGCCCTTAATGGCAAGGCCAACGCTCTTGGATGACCTGGCACAGCCGTGGGTCAGGTGAGCGACGTGAAGGAATACGTTCGCTCGGTTAGGGTGCGGGTTTTTGAGCGCTGCCCATGACACTTAGATAGTTTCGCAATGATGCCAAACCTTTCGATTCATGGCGGCTGGTCTGTCATCAGACGCAGACCCAAGTGACTGCCACCATTGGCATGAAATCCAGCATGCAGAAAGGAGAATCACATGGACCACATGCTTCTATGTTGCATCTCAGTTGCTCCTGGACGTTGCCTCATGCAGCCAACCGCACATCCGCGTTCTGATTTCTGACTACCCGCTGGCCGTGGTAATTGGTGGAGCTCCCCTCAGCAGAACTTTGCTTCCCGAGTAGCGAGGCGTATCTTCCGTCAGATCGTACGGGAGGCACGGAGACAAACCTGCACATTCAGGCACAGGCAAGGTATGCTTGGTCCAACATACAGGATTCTAGTTAGGGCTTCGTGATTCAAGTGTGCTTCGGTGCCTGAACAGTTTGACCGTCTTGCCGCAGAGCCCTTCTCCAGGCTCTGCTGATGCACGCGCACCACCTCTTTTGCACTACCTTGGAGGCCGGATCCACGGAACTTGCGGGAGTAGCGCAGGAGACAGTCACTCGGATGCCAAGCGACTTGCGTTGGCCGATGCATCACTTAGCCTCAAGTTGCAGCACTTTCTCATCTGCTGAATGGTGGCAGTATAGTATATAATATACAACAGATGGGCAAATCCCAATTTCTAGCCATGGCAGCACTGAGGACAGAGTCGCCACCGCCGCCCGCTCGACGCTTCGTTGCAGCAGCAGCACCGGCTTGGCTGGCTTGGTCTGAAATTTTGGTCCTTGCAGGAGATTGCTCCGAAAGTCTCGGAGCTACAGCTGAGCTGTGCTGCAGCCAATCACAGCTAGATAACAGTGACTGCTGCCAAGAGTCTCTGAAATTCTTGACGTTCACTGGCTAAGCTGCCAACTGTGCAAAGTAGCAGCACGTGGGAGAGGCCCATGGCTCCGCTCAACGGCACACGCGGTTGAGCATCACAAACCCCCCTGTTCTGTGGCCTGGGAATATTCGCAAGAACATTCCACATGTTCGAAAACTGTAGCTTTAGGCCGCGACAGTCTTGAAGCAACTATGCAATGCTGCACTCAGACACGGATCTGGAGTTGGAGGAAGCCGCCGGATCAAGTCTGCCCATGCTCGCCTTCTGCATCCTTCTGTGTGGGTTAGATGGTGATTGCAGCGGTCTTCCTCCCACCCACTGTGAAACGATTAGTTACCGGGTGGCGTAGGTGTTGCTTGATTGGGCAGTCGACGTGAGGCATGCCCATGAAGAGAGGACGGCATGCCTTCTAGGTCCATGGCATTTTCTTGCATGTGCGCTCTTCCAGTGCAGAAGCATCAAGTCGACATACAAGTCCTTCTGCAAAGACTCATGGTGCTCTTGCTCCACAGCTGATGGATCCAGCTTCCGAGATCCTGTGCTACATGCAGCACATGGGCAAAAATGCCGCACACGGGACCGAGAGCCTTGTAGGTCGGACACCTCCTTTTCAAGCTCTTTGGCTTGCGCCTCCATGTCAAGCCTCGGTTTTGTTTCACATGCAGCACTTGGTGCAAAGCGCGTCAGCGCATGCAAATCATCCCTGGTACCTCTTCGCAGACAAGGCTTCTGCTTGGTTCCTCGCCTCCGACGAGCAAGGAGTAAACACCCACCGGTTTACGTTTGCACAATTTGTGGCAGCTTGCAAGTCTGCAGGGCTGCTCCGCAAGCTTGCAACATGCTGGGTTTTGCTTATGACATTGGAGCATATGGAGCATTCACGAGCAAAGTTGCACGAGGCATTGGGAAGGTCTGTCAGACTTTGGACCATGATGCCATATATACCTTCGAAGGGGTCGACTGCCAAGACAAGTATGTCTTGCCGCCCGGCAGTTGCGTCATCAAGCTTGCAGGGGATGTGCCACATGGCTGGACCTGTGTCGCCTCGACAAAACCCCGAGCATATCGCGGCGGGCAAAGTGCACAGCCTCGACCCCCACAGACACGAGCTTGGCACGACTCTGCATCATGGCAGCCGGCTCTGCATCTGCATGTGTAAGTACCATAAGCAAAACGTAGTAGTCAATCAGTGAATAGGTGCGTCAGCTCGAAAGGAAAGGTAAAGGTAAGGTAAAGTAACGGAAACAAGGAATGGGAAGCCAAAGTAAGGCAAAATAGCGTATACAAAAGTAGAGAAGAGTAGAGCAGACTAGCATAGATGAAAAGTGGGGGTGTGTGGGGGGTCGCGGGCTGGTAGCTGGCGCCTGTGCCGGTCTCGATCGAGGATTAAACGAAAGCGGTAAACTCTGTAGGAGTCACATCACAGGCGTAAGCCAGTGAAGCAAGTTGGCAGTTGTCAAGATGTCGACGGGCGGCGATTGCTTCAAAACTCTTCGGGATGGCGGCACTTCTTGAGAAAGCATATTATACAGTGGAAGCTACTGTCGCGGAGCGCGGAGCTTATTTCCAGATATGTGGCTGTGTCTGTACGTGCCCATCTGTGTGTGTGGCTTTGCTCGTCGAGCTTCTTTCAAGCAGCAGTCTCCAAGCCTCTTTCAGCGAAGACATCAGGCCGCAGAGCGGTGAATCGGGCAAGTTCTCACGTGTGCCCTCCAACTGGCGCTGCGTTTCCGAGAGGTGATCCTTCATCATCCTGCAGCAGGCGTCAAAACAGTTGAGATTAGTTGAGCATAAGATCCTAAGATCATGCTTCCGGAACGGGTTCCTCTGAGTCTCGTCAAGCCGCCCTTGGATGGACCTTGGCGGAGCCCGAACTACCGACACTCATGACACTCTCGACGGAGAGCATTCCAAACTGAGGGAAAGGCATTCTCTGGAATGCCGTCTCCCGCTTTTGGTTGGCCAGCTCCTTGCAATGACTTCGGGCAGCCTAAACTCAACAGCTGCCGCTGCTGCTGCTGCTGCTGCTCCTGCTCCTCCTCCTACTGTTACTACTGCTGCTACAGCCGCTGCTGACCACCTCGTCTTCTTCGTCCTCTTCTTCTCCCCCTTCTTCTTGACATCGTTCGTTGCAAGTTCGTGTGCAAACTGCGGACCCCCAATAGGACACTAGCACTACCACTGCGACGACGACTACTATAACCATTGCTGCTACCACTGCTCCTCTCTCCGCCTGATGCTGCTCATGCTGGCCGTTGCATTGCAAGTAAGATGCCTGCTTGCTGCTGCCACCACTGCCACTACCTGCCACTACCGCTACGGCTACCACCGCCTCCACTACTGCTTATACTGCTAGTTCTGCTACGGTACCACTCCTGCTACTCCAATTCCTCCAATTTTGCTTCCGGCTTGCAGAATCTCTGCTACTACCCCAACTACTCCTACTGAACTGCTCCCAGTGTCGCCGCTACAGCTACATTATCCTGCTCCGACGACCGTTTCGATTTGGGCCTATGCTGCGGCGCCTGTGTGAGCCGCTGCTGCTCTGCCTGCTTGGAAGCGACAGCCTGGTGACAGTGAGCCAATAGCGATCTCTCTGACACGATTGGATCCGGATTGGCCCTTGCATGCCTCTCGCAAGCGATGAAGCTCACCTTTGGAGCTCAACGCCTGGCCAAGCATTCTGTCCAACCAAATCTTTCCTTCGCTCTCTTGGACACGGCGTGCGTGCTCGGACCAATTTTAGGGAACAGAAGCCACCACGAGAGTCTTGAAGCGATCTTAGGCGGGCTAGCTTACATCACTCGTGAACCTGACTGTGTCTTGTACTTCGACTCAGCTGCAAATTGTTGTCGTGTGTGCACAGTCCCGT